AGTTAAATTTTTTGTTTTATAATTTGAATATAAATTTTACAAAATATAATCCTTATCTTTAAATATCATCAAAAAAATTTTTATTTAAATATATTAAATTTTTAAAAAAATAAATCAGAAGTATTTTTTAGTAAAATTCAGGCCAATTTGTACTGAATTTTAAACAGTTTAAGGGATAATTAATTACATTTGATAAGGAAATTTGTTACAATCAGATCGGAAATATATTAAAAATTAATGTTACAAAAATTTTTATGACAGATATGTGGGAACATTAAGTCGTCTAGCACCAATGCAGTCAAGACAATATCTAATATCTGGTTTTAAAGAGAAATCCTCTTCTTCTTTTGAATTATTGTTTATTAAACTAATGAATCTATATAAATTCATAAATTTAACAATATTATGATATACTAATTATTGACTATTGAGCTTAAATTAATAAATTCGGTTTATTTTGAAAGATAAAGGTAATAGAAAAATTCTTAATAAGATATTGCATTAATATTTTTAAATCTTAGCAACAATCGGCTTGGTATTAAAAGAGCAAAAAGTATTAACATATAATATGATTTTTTCAAAATATTACCTGATTTTCCTGTCTATTATTATAAAAGTGCTATTTTTATGCATCCATTTAATTTTCTTAATTTTAATTAATCAATCATTTATTTGATATTCTCTTCCTTTATTGTTTAGTCTGAGTTTTATCGATAATGCATTAATTTTTTTGAAATCCTGTTATGTATTTGTGTGAAAGCGCTGTTTCTGGTAAGGAGCTCCTCCTACTTTGTGTTCGTGCACAAAACCAAATCACATAAGCTATATTAAACATGTAACCATATATGTTTCTCTGTTTTGAAGTTTATTGTATTACAGCTATTATTATCTTTTCAATTATGACCCGAAGTAATACTTCATGCTTCATATATTCGTATATCTCCTTACATATTTTCTGATTGATTTTGCATCCTAATATGAAATTATTCATGTCTGGTTTCTCTTATCAAATATTTTGTTGCCGCTACAATCATAAACTTATTTTCCTCAGTTAGAAATGTGATGTATATTATTTTATTCAAAACATGATAAGCATTGATATTGCTTAAACAGAATTTTATACTATGTAAAAAAAAGAAAATTAGATTGATCAGTGTTCAAAAATATTTCCCGATCGAGCAATTTACTCTAAATTGAAAAACACTGCATATATATTAAAGAAATTTTCCGTGCATTTTCTGGACTGATCTGATTAAAAATGATCACACGTGTAGACAATTCGACTATAGCCTGTTCTCTAAATTTGTATGAATCCTCCTTAAATAGTAATGAATCACTTTAATTTTTTTGAGCACAAAATTTTTATTCGAATAATCCCACAAGTATATTTGTATTACGGTCACTAACGTTAAAAACCGCACTTCATGTGTATTCAAGATTTACATCCTACAAAAACACAAAATGAATTTTACTATTTTAGCTAAGTTTATGGCACTTCATATTTACAAAATACATTGATACTAATTTGCATTTATGTGTATGCAATTATTATAAACATCAGAAACCAGTACAGACATCGTACATACTATAAGAGTGATGAGCTTGCAGGATGATACAAAGATGCATGCGTTATTATGTGCATATCATTTATCCATTAGGTTCATTTATTTGACATAAAAAATTAGGGTTAGAATATGTGCATACTTTGCGCGAAATGGTGCAATAAATCATTTTTCTTAATATAGAAATATTTTATTTTAAATAATTCGCGATTATTAAATATATATACTATTATATTAAAATGTGTTATATATATGTTATTATAAATTAATATGTAAGATTTAATAATAAAAATCTTAATTGAGAAATGGACTGGAGCAGACAAAATTTTCCAATGAAGCACAAATATTTAATCCTGAAAGTAACATCTTTCAATAATAGAATTCGCAGTTTTGTACTTCAAAATAACATAAAAATTTACTTAGAAATTCTTAAAGATGCATCTAACGTTCTAATGCAGCAATACTGAAAAATTACTTATAAAAGCGGTAGAAGTTTTAGAATTAATGACTGAGCTTTTGATTCTGAATAAAATAAATGATCTGTTTATTTTGAAGTAAGTGATATATGAATTTTATTAATATCATCAAAAACGAAAATCTTGTAGATTTTGTAAAGTAAAATCTCTTTATTTTTTGACTTTGAATGTTAGAAATACAAAAAAGAATCTATAGCTCCTGCTTATTCTCAAAATAAGTTAATTCCGAAACCTTTTAGTGCAAGTGCCCTAGTGTATTTGACTCGGTTTTCTACAGTTCAGAATGGACACCGAATTTATTAAGGCTATAATTGAAGGTGTAGCATTTGCTACAACCCCAAATCCGGAACCTCAGCAAGCGCCATCTTTTGTTGAAGTATTATTTTTTGGATCTCCTCCAAATTGATATCGATTGAACTCAAATTGGCTTATATCGTATATTACAAGCAATTGACGACCGCTTCGTCCGTTGGCAAAATCAATATTTTTATTCTTTTATTCGTATAATCGCATTACAAACATTTATTCATTATTTATTTATTTATTTATTTATTTATTTTCTTTTTTGTCTACATCCGCTTCGCCTATTCGACTTTTTTACAAAAATTGTTTATGTTATTTAGATTCCCTTGAGAATTTTTATTCAGCTAGAATTAAGGTTGTTAGTGGAAAGATTTTTTGGGTTTTAGGTTGAATGAACAAACTGATGATTTAACTTTATTTAACAAGAGAAAACAAAAATTTAAAAAAAATAATTGTTGTATAATAACTAGAATAACTTTAAGCTTGTATAACATTTTAAGTAAATTATGTTTTAAAATTATGGAATATTCTAACTATTTTCACTTTAATTGTATAATTTAAATAAATTGAAAAAGGCAATTCTTTTAGCATTGTAAAAGTTGTACAGTGACAAAGAATTATTATGATATAATTTTGAAGTGTTTGTCTTTAATACCTACAAAACTTCAGACCTATCACCAGTTAAAAATAAATTCATTATTGTATTAAAGTCTATCTAAAAATCTGTTTGTGAATACATTATTAAAGTTCGTAATATTAGCATACAACCGAAATTCTATACATTAGGCCTGACTAGTGATGGGACTTACCGGGGTTAGAAATTTAGGCTGCTTAATTGTCTGCATTATATTAAACCAAAAATTATAGATTTACTTTTATTCTATGACGTGTGCGACAATTAAGCAGCCTGAATTTCTAACCCCGGTAAGTCCCATCAATAGGCCAGGAAAATCTGTTTTGGTAGTTTATATTACATTCCATTCTCAAAATGGGTGAAAAGAGAAGTGTATAGTAAAATTTTAATTTTTTAAAAAACTTTTTTTCGAAATCATCCGTAACTATATAATTAAAGTTTCCACAATTCTATATATTACATATTCTAATTTTTTTTGCCAAGAGGATGGGAAACAGAAAAGTGGAGGGAATAATGTAAATTACCAAACCAAATTGGTCTGGTCAAATTCATAATTAACAGTTTTATGCACCTAAAATTAAAATCACATCACACAGGACTAATTAGATATTGCCATGACTAATATTTATTTGAACTTTAATGAAAACAAATTGATTGATGCGATACCTTGATTCTACAAACTCATTAGCAAAAATATTCTAAATGATAGTTCAAAAATGGCTATGTGTTGTACCTCGATTTAACCTGAAAGTGTATGAAAAGAATCGACGTCTAACCAAAATTGTAGCATAGTAAAATTACTTGCATGAAATATTTTATAAAACCATATACGTACATTAATATTTTATATATATCACACGTATATACTGTATTAATGAATTGAAAACTTTATCTATTAAAAATGCTTTTATTTATCTATCATAATGTACACATATATTGAATTAAGATAACCATGAAAACAAGGTACAGTATCCTCAGAAATAACTATCGATATACCAATTCAGCAATATATTACAATACATATATTAAAGATAATGCATCAATATTTGCAGCCATAACCCATCAGAAATAACTTCAGCAGTATGATTTGGAATACTGTTGATCAAATGCATGAAAATCGATGCATCTAGCCTTCCTATTCCTCTAAAAGCGTTGTCTTCAACTTTTCATATGTTCTTGGGGGTGGTCTTCGTTACTGCATTCTAAGTATCTTTTAGTATATTTCATATGTGCTTTTTTGTGTAACCGTGATATATTTTCTGAGGGTACTGTACATCTAAAAATAGATCAGTTTTGTAGGCCTAATTCGGATATATGTATATGGATAATCGGGGAACGGAAAATTCCGCCCAATTTTGGAAATCCTTCAGCCAATTTTAATTCCGAATTTAAATGTGATGTTCGGGATTTTATGGTGGTAATTCCGATGTGCGGAATTTTAACGTATTTACTGCTGTATTATATCTCTATTCTGACCGTAAACTGATATAAATATAAAGTCTAGGGCATGAATTCCATATTTAGATCACATAGAGAATTAAATCTTTCTACTGTTCCTGATAGGGTTCTAAAAACGAACCTTAATCCTAACTTTATATATGATTAGTAATTTTTTTTACAAAAAATGAAAATTTCGAGCAATATTATTGGCTTTAGATAGGATTACTTGCATGTACTATATTTTAAGGGTGTCAATTAAATGCGCAATCTATTTTAGTCAAAGAAATTATCGGTAATTATGCAATTATTTGTATGATTGGTTATATTAACATTTGTTTACGTTATTCAAATAAATGGCGTTTTTAAACACTATGAAAAAAAGCATCTGTGTGAAAAATATTTTGTACTGATATTACAAAAATCGAATGATGTGTACTTTTATTATAAATTTGGAGTTTAGACTGTTAAGAAAATATTCATCTAAATATTATTAGATAAATTACGCTTTATGCTGGCATACAGTATTCAGGTAACAATATAATAATTATTTCTAGTTGGGACCAATCATTAAGTATGAAACGTGAGACTAAACTATAATAATTCATTTCTATTCATAATTCTATTTTATCCATCATTACAACAAATACTAATTGGAATACCAATTGGAATATATTTTCTGTTTTTGAAAAGGGATCACAAGTGAGAAGAAATGCACTATTAATTGAAAAAATATCTCATATAATTTTAAAATTCAGAATACGTAATTCATACAAAAAATTTATGACAATATAATTGTAACTAGGATCAGGTGTAACGTAACTACAAAACAATTAAAATAACCCTGTTGTTTTGTTATTTAGGGTAAGGTGAGGTAAAGATAGTATGCGGGAGAAAAGATATTTATAGTAAAATTTTGCAAGGAGTTTTTTTTGTTAGAATTCAAAAGGTAGCTTCATGTACTCAATTTTGAGTTATCCCGATATTTGATAGAACGAACACTTTCCTGATTGTGTTACGTTACACTTGATCTTGAAATTTGATTGGCTTTTATGGGATGTGGCTACAGTAGCCGTGCAACGAACATATTAATTCAAAAATCTATTCTGCAAAATTTCCAGATACCTGCAACTTTATTAATATGATATACGCATTATAATAATTTTTAAATATTTCAACTGTATAATACGTACTTTTAGTGACAATCACATGTTAACATTAACAGGGTTTTTTGACAATGACCAGCGTTGTTACGCGCATTAATGCTAAAACAATGATGATCTGCAATACAGGCATGCGCGATGTTTTTGTGTTTCAATAATCTATAAATATAATAAATTTGTAAGGAGTGCGAGTTTAAAATAATAAAACCTTACATTAATATCAGGGGTGAAGTCCATGACTCGATATATAACCTAAGTTATGACTTTATAAAAATTTGTTATAGTGCAGAAAGTGAGTTCAATATCAAAAATTTTAATATATTCCTTATAAAAAAAATATTTCTTGGAATCATTCTGGAATTAAGGATTTAACGTTTAATTTGTGATTTATTGCGATTTGCAAAATTCTGGATCCCATTGTTAGTTTGAGCGATGATCATCAAAGCGTTTCTACTGCAACAAAAGACTTGGAGATTGAATTCTGATTAATTATTTTAGAGATTAGTCAGGGCTTATTTTCAAAAAATAGCCTGATGCTTTTAATTGTAATAGAAATATTTACTGCGCCATAATCACAATCGACTGTGGCGCAGTAAAATAATTATATTATATTTAAGAGCGTCATACGATCTTTTGAAATTAAACCTCGACAAATCTTTAAAATAATTAATCAGAACTCAATCTCAAAGGTGTTTTTGTTGCAGTAGAAACGCTTATTTTTGTCACAATCGCAATCACAATCGTGGAGCGATGATCCAGAATTTTGCAAATCGCAATAAATGAATATGTTGCACAAAAAAATCAATAAGCGTTCACTATAAAACTAATCACTAGATTAGCTCAAGAGCTATGACTAGGGCGCTGGCGGAATTTTTCGAAGTTCGGACTATTTCGGAATTTAACAATTATGGCCAACATTAGCAGAAAACTATCTTAATGCGGGCCTGCGCAGTAAATTCAAAAAATCTTCGATTTGCCCATCCCTAGCTATGACCCAGGACTTGATAATAAATTTTTGTTAATTCATTAATCTGATCTCAAAATTTGATTACGGTAAACTGTAATATCGAATATGCATAAGCATTAAGAAGTTATCAAATTTGAAAATGGTAGAATTATATAGCAAAAACAGATTTGGTATATAAATTTTTTATTAAATTTGACAGGATATTGGTTTTAACAAGATCATTTTTGAAAGATTCAACAGTATTTTAATTTGACATGTACATTTTCAGATCAAATAATGTTCGTTTAGGTATGTAATTATTTATGCTTTTTTCTTGACTAACTTAAACTAAATCAACACGAATGATATAAAGTTAAGAATTAGCCAGGGTGGCCCCCCCAAAGTGCCAGTGACGTAAATCATTTTCACCAATCAGATAATACTATATATTTAACAATAAGCGATGATTTGTATTACTCGATTATTGAAGTGATACGTAACTGGCACTTTTGGGGGGCTGCCCTGGCTAATTCAAAGTTAACGTTATGTAATAGTAGGTATTTATTAGCTCATTCATTTTAATCATTTAGATATTAAATGTGGCAGCTGACGCTGAAATTTCGGCCTATTTATTATTTTTTTTTGAACCTTTTTTTTGTCATTTTTTTTCATAGTTTGGTTTGAATTTAGGGTTAGTGTTGTTAATAAAAGAGCATATGTGGGTTTCAGTTGATTTTAGTAGGTGCTATTGACTGAAATAGGGTCCCAATTTTATCATCAGCTGCAATAAGTATATTTTTACAATAAATAAATATTTTTTATTGACTATTCATTAAATTAATATGAGTAAATAAGCTTAGTATAAAAAAACTATATACTTAACATTTTAATATTTAATATTTTTAACATTTTAATATTTATCC